GTGCCAGACCTGGACATTAAAAACCCATGAAAGCAAAATCACCGCATGTGAAATGAAATAGCTCCGCAAAACCCTTGATATTACGAGACGAGACAGGCAGAGACAGAGAACTGAAGAAGTAAGAGCAGCTATCAGCATTGAGTCCTGCCTGCATTACATAGAAAGAGAGAATAAAATAATGATTTGGCCACCTGTTACGTACGTCACCTTGCCAGCCAGCCTCGAGAGCCTACAACATCAAGCACTCAGGCTTTAAAGGAAGAAGAAGTCCATGCAAAAGGTGGATCGAGGGTGTCAAGGAAACCCTTAGAAAACATGACATCACAACAGAAAGAGCTGTGGAGCTGGCCTACCAAAGAAAACTGCATCTCCCCTCGACGCTGAAAGGCAAAAGAGTATGAAAAAGGGAACTAAGTAAAGTAAGTTGTGGGGCTTTTCAAGGCTGATGTTAATCCAATCTATCAGTTTCATTTACTGTATACGTTTTACACAAAAAATTCATATCATCCTTCATATCTGTCTGTTGACGTTTTGAGAACATAATCTGGCTAATTTTCTCGACTTGAATGCACAGATTTGACCCACAAAGCGCTCCTATTTCCGTAACAAATCCATTTACTTCTACTTAAGCAAAAGGCTAAAAACATCCTAATACTATGCCAGGCTTGTCAGTTTCAACGGGACGACTGACGTCACATTTGAGTGCTCAACTCAAGGCAGACTGTCAGCTGTCAGTTGCAGTCTTTTATAATTTATGTGCGGCTCAGCTGGGTCAAAGACAGGAAGGGGAAAGTGAAAAAACTGAGGTCATGTCAACTTAGACGGTCGTCACTGGGTCCTTCATGGGTCATGGGGAGAGATAGGCATAAGTAAGCTAAGAACTAAGAAGTTTACTGGACATTTTGATTTCAATGACGGGAAGAAACGTCTTAGGTTACATTGGTTAAAATATTGGTTTCTACCAGGAAGATATTATTGTTTTTATAAATGTTTTACTGCACTTGGAACACAATTATGTTATATTATAAGCGCCAGAGATTAGAGGTGATACAAGGGAGTAATAAGCACAATTGAGAAGGAGGAAAGATAAGGACGACAGATGACCAATAAGAAAGAAGAAGCAAACCCCACCAGAGCGCCCGTCAACCAACCACAACCGGACTGTAGCCCCAGCATTCGCAACCAAAAAGGACGTGTTTTTATTCACTTCTATTGTTTGAGAAAATGGACGTTTTATTAGTCATCGATCCATTTATCACTGTCCATTCGAAGCTGGGTATTACAAAGGAAGTAAAAGTGTAGGTTTTTATGTTTAACATCCCTGTCAACACTTTTATGTTATTTAAGAGGCAGGGGTCTCCAAATTTAACTATATCTCCGAAGGATCGGGCGAAATAGGCTGAGAGCTTCAACAAAAATTTCACAAAACGACCCAAGAACGCCCAGTCAGAGCTTCGAACTGAGGCTACTCACTCTGGTAGTCCAGCATGGTACCAACTAAGCTGACGGCGCGCCCCATTGCAATGGGAATCAAGAATCCTGAACAGGCTCGCCTGAAGGAGAGA